CTTTATGAATTAATTGGTATCCTTCAATTCTTTTCATAGGATGTCAAGCTGCATTTAAAAGGTTCAAAGATTTAAAAAAGCACCATCATTTTAATGGTATTACTTAGTTTTTATCAGTTTCTGATATCATAAAAGCTTGCCATAAATGAAATCAAGCTTGAAATGCCTACATAATGAAAAGCGTAATAAATAACTCATTAAAAAGGGACAGACAAAGGAATTCATACATATTTTTACTCTTCTTATACTACCTAACTATCTGTATCTACTGTATGTCTCAGGAAGCCAAACTCAATTAAGATTTAATAAAAATATATTACTATAACCTTTTTCTTTCTCCAGCAACACTAAAGTAACGCACACAGAAAACTGAAGGATCAAACCCCTTTTTGCAAACCAGCCTCAAATAACCTGTAACAAAACTCAGACTGGAGAAACTCTCAGCTGCCATCCCCACTGCTTGGGGCCAATGCTGACAGGTATCAAAACACCACAAATTAATAAACAATATATCAAAGTGGTAGCCAACACCAGAGCATCTGCATTTACATCCTGCAATGCCTGACAGAAATTCAGGCACGGAACTTTAACCGATACTAATTACAAATTAAGACTTCATGAAAGTTTGAGGAAATCAAAGAGGTCTCCAATTCCTTCAAAAGCCTGCCTGGAAATTCTTTATTCAGAGAATTAGGTGGTTTGAAGTCAGTGGTTTAATCTCTTTGTGGTAGAAAACGTTTGTGCAAAATCCTTGAAAAGCATAGAAAGTTACTGGCGTATCTGGTAGGGAACTTCACAAGAGCAGAATCAACATCATTCAGGATAAACCTGATGTTGGCAGCAGGCACCACCCCTCTAAATCACTGTAGTTAAATACAGCACCCATGAGAACTACCCAAGAGGCACCACAGCCAAAGGCCCACCTGACAAAAAAGTCTGCATACTGAATTTCAGACACTGACTTGTTGCCAATATGCAAAATATAGAAGTTACTGGCTAATAAGCACTATGCAATCAATTTAAATACTATGTTAGCAGAAAAATAAATTGTTTTCACATACTAGGCAGTTCCTGTGAGCTTCACTTTGTGAATATGAATTCTGAAAGATAAATTCTTGAAAATATCCGTGAAGGTTAAAATCCACATCCTGCTAGAAACAAAAAAACCCCACCACCTAGTCAACATCAAAGACTAGACACACCAAATGAATTATACATAAGGAAAGGAAAGTCAAATGTTGGCTTCAATGCATGGGCCAAGCCTTCAGGCTGGTATAAATTCATGCAGCAAAAGTTTTTGCACAGAGAAAAGCAGGTATTATAATAACCCTTAAAAATAATTTTACCATAGGAATTTGTAGCAAATCCGATCTTATTCAATGAAATTCAAGAAAATCATTCATCTATATTATTGCTTATGGCCTACTTACAGGAGAACACACTTCAGATTAAGGAATAGTTAAAGGAAAAAGACCATTCATAAACACAGTTATTTCAGAGGAAAAGATATTCTAGAACAGTTCCTTGTATAGACAAATACCCTCTCAAGTGGTTGATGGATGTTCCACTATAGAATCATTCTCTCCCCTGTGACACGAATCTCTGAAACCTAAATAATCAAATCATGAAATAAATTCTGTCTAAGGGATATAGGTTTACCAAATTGAAGAGCCCACAAAAGTTTCTTTCTAAAATATGATCTATACCCAGTTATACAGTAATGATACTATGATATTTCCTAGTCAAAGCCAAAGAAAGGAAGGAGATTGATTTTACTGTCTACATTACCCAGGTATGTTTATAAAGATGCAGTAACTTTTTAAGTGCAAGCACCGTTCAAAGACCTTCACTGCATCTGGAGAAAAACTCAGGAGTCAAACAGAATGCAGTAACACTAAAGAACAGACTATAAATAGGATTCTAACAAAAACTATAAGGACTTCCAGTGACAGAGAGTAATTTTTTTTTCTCTAAGCCCCTCTCATATCAAAGTTGAATTCAGCTCCACATTTGAGGAGGAGATGACAGAGTTCACAGAAGCAGATGCACTGCATCTTCACAGGAATCTGGCAGAGCAGGCAATGTGAAGCTGGTAGACACATTAAAATGAAGAATAGGTCTGAGCTTCAAAGGGAAGAGAATCACTCTCAGATTTACAATAATACTGTCATATAACATCATATTTAAAGAAGACAACATAAAAGGAATCAAAATACACTTCTTGAAGTATAATGGGCTTTATTCCTTTAGCCTTGAATGTGGGAAAAAAAAATGGAACTAGGAGAGGCGAATGACACGAAACTTTCACTAGCTTGGGGAAGGTGGTCTACCAGTTTTAAAAACTTTTCTCTGGCTGGGAATATTTAAGATATGCATTTATCAAAGTAACTCTGAACATAGCTTAGAGTCCATGGAGTTTGCTTCAAACAGAATAGACACTTTTAAGCTGCCAGTGGACCATGTTGCTTATCTACATGAAGACTTACTACAAAGCCCAAGAGAGAGCTGCTGTTACCTCCTACCCAAGTGCAGCTGATTAAGCATGTCCTTGACAGAAATTGTCTATCTAAGTGACTTTTAACTTCCAGAAACTTAACCAAACTAAGAAGTCATCCTACAGGCAACAAGGTAGGACAAAGAAATTATAGTTTTTTGAATTTTCTTCAACTGTAACTCTTCAAGAGAGTTTTGGTAACCCTGGAGAACAAAAACATAAAGTCAAAAGATTGTACATTGCAGTACTGCTCTTCTGCACTGCCCTTCTCATCTTCTTTCTTCTGGAGTCACAGGTTGAGATATAACCATACCAGAAAGAAAGGAAGCAACCACTGTATGTGTGGTTTATCCTTTTCTTGCCTCCTTTTTCAGTAAGCACATTGCAAGGCAGGCTTGTCACATGCTTTAGGAGAAACAGAGGATCAAGGACTGTTGTATTAGGATGTGAAGTGACCACAGTCACACAGGATCCTCTGTCACGAGCACTGCCTGTGTCTAAATAGCTCAGATAAGAACTATTTTCAGAGGGTTTTATTATTACTGTGTTTTGTCCTGGATCACACTAGGAACATGTCTATTTTAGGCAACTGATACTTTATTCAACCTGGTTTAAAGTGGTTATTTTGAATTATTTTTCTTTCCCTACTTACTTTTTACTGATAAATGACTTCCACCCATGCCCAAATCTAAGGACTATGAAGAAACGTGGTTCTCCCAATTACCTTGGTATGAATAGCTACTTTGAACATCCCAAGACAGTGGACTAGTCAAAAGATTTATTTTGACCACCACCCTGCATGTGACCTGCATAGGCTGAAAAGTCTTTCAATTTGTGCAGCCTAACAGCCAACATACAAGAGAAAAAAATCAAAACCGGACAAATAAGCAAGATATACGTGAAGCCACTAAACTAGGCTTTTTAATTAAAAAGGTAACCTGCTGATTGACTTGATGTGATCTTGATTTTTTAGTTTGACAGTTCATTCAATAGGGACATTTTTAGATGCTCTTACATCTCTATTTGGGTTAGAAACCTGTTTTCTTAATTCATTGAGGCATCTGATGTATCAGATTTAATAAAGGCCAAATTGTGTTGCAATCCTGTGTCAGAATACACAAGGCTATTCGGGGTACTCAAATTTTGCCAGCTGTTTTTTAATCCTGTTTGTGCAAATTGCACTCACCAAATTTCAGCCATTTCAGTGGTGATTGCATTTGCTACACTGGTCTTATTCTATATAATGTGTGTACTGTAGTTATCTCTTATGTCTAATATGTGTCCTTTTATGTACCAAGTATTTTTAAATTTAATGGAATAATTTTAAAAATAATTTTAAAAGCTAACATCTTTTTCGATGTTTTTGTTTGTTTATTTGTTTGTTTTTAATCAAACAAAAAATGAAGGCCAAGGACAGGTTTGATATAGATTCTCTGCAGATAATGGAGGTGTCACATAATCTCACTAAAAATTTTTTTATTACTGTTACAGGGTTTTTAGTTTACTTTTTTTTCCTTAGTACGCCCATTTTAGTTGCAGTTACTTTCTTTAAACCTAACCTTGAGGAATCATTTGTTAGGAAGTGAATAAACTCTCCCTAGCTATGAGGGGACTAATATTTTCACTGATTTTTTTCCAAATAAAATACTGTAGAACCTACACCAAACGGAGTAAAATCATATCAGTGTATTAGTAGAAATGGGCAGGATACCAGTCTGGCTTTTCTTAGGGAAAGCCCCATTTGAATCCAGTTATAAAGTCTTGAAAAATAAAGTCTGTATGTATGTATGTTTAGCCCTGATGTACCAGAAATCAGGTTGAATTGTATTCTGAACAAAAAAACCCTCTAAATGATATACAGACTGTTTTAATTATGAACAAAGTTTGCAATGCTAAGGAATTGTGATCTGATAAGGTTATGGGCTCTTTCTGCATTGGAAAGAAAAACAATAAAAGAAGTAATATTTTGTTTTTGAGGTAATTTGTCAAATACATTAAATCAGAACAATGTTTTTTTTATCACCTCTTGGTTTTGGTGTAGCAGAGTTTTATTATATTCAAATCTTCTGAGTCATACAGATTGGAGATAAATACACATAATGGAATAGTGTTAACATATTATCTCAAGAACAAATAAGCATTTCTTTTAATTTTCCTTTTCATTCTACAATTTTTCATCTTTAATCTAGTAAAGAAACAGAAGAAAGATGTCTTCTTCTGTAAATATCTCATTTCTCTATCCCCAGTAGATTTTGTGTAATCGTGAAACAAAAGCTACTTCTGGTAAGAAACAGAATGACTAACAAATTATAAACACAATAAAACTATGCTGTACCAGAAAAAATATATGATGTATTTGTTCTCTGGGTCCCCAGACCTTAAAAAGAAAAAGAAAACAAGACAAAAGACAAAATAAACAAGCAAAGCCCCATTTCTTTTGTAACCAAATAAAGAAAAAAATACTGACCTACATGTTCAGTTGCTAAAATTAACAAAATGCACTTACCAGCTGACCTAAATGATCCTTAAAGAAACCTAAATCCAAATAGCTGGGAAGCCAATGCATATGTTCATAATAATAGACAAGCCAAGGTGCAGCCTCCGGTTTAGTCTGAAAAATACTAAAGATTTTTTTGCTATTGCTGGAAGATATTAATGGCCACTATCAAGGAAATCTTTGATGAATTTATGTTGTTAAAGGCCAGTTCAACTCAATTAGGTGTGCTAAGAACTCCTCTCGAGTGCAGAGGAACAACAAAATCTCCTTACAGACAGAGAGACTAAACCAAGAGAGCAGGTTAACATTTTTTCTCCCTTTGGTGCTCTGTATCCATCTTAAAATGTCTATGGTTTGCCTTCTGATTCTTTTTTTTTTTTTTCTCCTTACAATCACACCTTCCACATACAAAAATCCTGCTGCTCCTGCAAGAGACTGTGGACTGAATTCCTGATCTGCTTCTGTTTCATGGAAGTGCTTTAGTTGCTTTAATTTTGCCATGTCCCATTTTGGAGAGTGGCTACAGCTGTAGCACAGCCTGAGTGAAAGCAAACAGGCAGGAACCCTCTATTCCCTCACACTGCACATTTGATCTCTTTTTGAAGATTGTAATATAGATATCAACTACTGCTGTCTCCTGAAACCTGCACTGCAGGCTGTAAGGGAAACTCAGACACATTCCTGAAACCACTAGAAAATCATCTCTGACACAAGGGTAATTAAGGGCTGGATTTACATCGGATGAAATGGAATTCATAAGGAAAGGTGTGCAAGCATAGATGAAGCTTACAGACCATGCAGAGCGCAAAAAACACCTGCCAGGACATATCTTAGGGGCAGAAAACATGCAGATAGTGGGGAAAAAAAGCTATGAAAGACAGCTAAGAGGAAGATAAATAGAGAAATTAACAGAGAGACAGACCTGAGCCTGGAAACCATCCACAGTCACTTCACGAGCATGGAGGGAAAGGAACCCAACTCTGCAGAGCTTTGTACTTCTCAACCTCCAGTCACCAAAGCATCTCCAAACAACTCACAAATAACAATTCAGAACCATTTGCTTGCACTCCTTTAAACAGCTCAATATCTATTTTCCTCCCATTTTACAGATAAGGAAACAATGCACGGGCAGACTGAAGCCAACTCAAAGAACCCACAAACATTCTTTATGTTGCCCACGTATTTAACCCCCTTAACAATAAGATGCTTTAGACAAGAAGAGCCCAGTCCAGATTTTCAGTCATGTCCTGTTCTGGATATAAACAAAGTTATAAAAACCCTGCTCCATTGATTCCTATCTCAGAGGTAATTCTTAGCCAAGTGAATCGTTTCTCTTGACGCAAATGGCACTACTGGCACAAAACTGCAAAGCAGGGCTCCTCCTGGCAAGGCAGCCTCAACTAAGTTTTAGTGAAGCAGCAAACCAATTTCCTGAAGAAATTTGTTTTCTGATTTATAAGACCAATCTTTAAATGATATCTGAGTTTCCAGATGGAAAAAACATGTACTGTTTCTCCTTTTTCTTTTGGTCAAGACCAGAATTTTCAAAAATCTCAAGGGTTTACATAATCACATATCAATGCACATAAATGAAAGACCATGTGCAGTCATTTATATGTGAATTTCTGCATTTGTTTAATTAGCATGGAGCTATTCTACTACTGCATTCCAGAAAGCAGTTATGTTTTCATCGAAAATTTAGTGTTTCTTCAATGCAGTTGACTGCTGGAACTAAATTTATAGAAGTGGGATGCTTGTCACCACAGTGCATAACAAATAATGCAGCTTCTTACCCTCCCAGTGCTTGATACTCAATACCTAATATAAGCCTTGATATTCCACTCTGTAGTCAGATTGTCTATTAGAGCAATTGTGCAGCAAATCATTGAGAAAAACTGTTTCCTCTTCCATATGCACAGTCTTTGCCACCAGAGGTCAAAAATTAGTATACAGATCTATTATTAATTTTAATTAATGTCTAGAAATAATATTTGTGAATATGATTATTCACAATTTATGAGCTGATATTTAAAATCTGTGAAGTAGCCCATTTGACATACCTCATAAATTACACAGTACATTACTACTTCATGAGTGGAAGAGTGTATGACTTAGAATAGATTATGTGAAATGCCATATATACTAATTTGAAATTCACTCTCTATTAATATTCTCTAATTATTTAAAACTTGCTGCTTATGAATTTCCCTGCCAGCAAAATCATGGAACATATGCAAAAAGCGAAAACAAAGAGGGTGATAGCAGTTTCAAAGCAAAACCTTCTGAAATTCAGATCATTACTTGTGGAGAGAGAAAAAAAAAATACAATGCAGTACTCAACTACCCTACAGACAGAGAGAAGGAAAAAGGCAGAAAGGATGGTGGCTTGCACTGTCTGAGGGAGTTGACACATATTGAGTCACAATTAGAAGTACCTTCTTCATTCTCAGTCTCTCTCCTAACAACACAAAATTGCTATTTCTTCCCACTACATGCATGAAGAACACAGATATCCAATTATTGCTAATTAGCTTTGGTTTTTCATGCATTGTTAATGAAAACTTATTTATATAGGGCAACCAACTCCCTTCAGGTATATCTAATTTTTCTGTAGCATTCATATTACATATCATTAATTTAAAATCTATAAAACGCATTGCAAACATCCTCAGAGTCAGCCTAGCTGATGAAAAGTAAAAAACTCCCAAATATTATGTTTCAGTAAACATTTAAATATGCATTGGCTCTTTTCCACCACGATAACTCCATTATGGATGTCTAGGACTGTGTGGACAGATGCATCAGCCAAAACACATCAGAGAAATATGCAGGCAGTAAAAAATAAGCAGAGATTAAAAAAACCACAGAATCAATTAGGTTGGAAAAGACCTCAGAGATCATCAAGTTCTAACTAAACCCTACCATGTCAACTAGACCATGGCACTAAGTACCAAGTCTACTTTTTCCTTAAATACCTCCAGATGCCAAGCTACAGCCTAAAATGTGCCACAGAAATAAACTACGATAAACTACAACACAAAACTCCACTTCTATTCCATTGAGTGCTTTGCATGAACACACATCTAAGTCTTCACACAATAAATTAGTATTTGATAAGTATGTGCAAGACTCTACAAAGGGACCAGCACACAATGCAAAGGTGATGCACAGTTTTGTGATTTGATGTGATTTTGACAATAGGTCTTAAGTCATCGGTGTGGAGGCCAAAGGTGATGCTGGATTTACAACAAATTCTCACACAATTTCACTTGCACCTGCCCCTTTTATCCACTGCCTTTGCTGTCTGTAGGAGTGGATAACTGGAATCTCTCTCCCTGCATTGGGAAAGGACAGTTCAGCTCTTTGAATGCACCTACTGAACACTTCTGTGCTATGTATTAGAGGCAGAACTCTCTGCACTGTTTTCCTGCAGCATTTCAGAACAAACTGGAAAACAGAATAGCTAACCAAAATATTTGGATTTAATGGCTGCATTTAAAAGCTAATACATCTCCTTTAATCACTGTTTATTCTTCTAATATATAGTTATTGATATACCCTCCAGAAATATTTCATTTTCCTACTCCAGAAATCTAAATCAACTGATAGCTGCACTCATCTAACAGCCTAAATGAACACTAGAAAATCAGAGTCTAGAGAGTTTCTGCTAGTAGCATTTACCCAAGTAGCAATCAGCTCACTATTCTGAACAAGATCAGAGAATGTGAAACATTCTGCCAGTATCAAACTACTGAAACGTCCTGGAGAGCACTGGGAGATTATATGACCCTATCAGCCTTTCAACACAGATGGTGAAACTATAATTCGAAGAAGGGCAAAGGTGGTGGTGTTAAACCACTGAGCACTCCCCAGAAAACCTGACACACCTTCCCTTCCCTCCTGGCATATTTGAGGCAGTGCTGCGTGAACCCCCAAACAAGCAGCTGAAGCTCCTTTCTCTCTCATGAAGAGAGCTTTCAATACAGAAGACTGAGACCACTGACAAATTCTGCCACGCAGCACTGACTCCTTTTCCTGCAGTCTCACTTTCCCAGGTCAGTCCAGTCCCTGATGGTGCTGCTGCCCACCGTGTGCCCTGCCTGAACAGCCCAACCTCAGACCCCAGCAGGGCATGAGAAATTGCTCTTGGGAAAAGCTCCTTCCCACTGCTCTGCAGAAAGGGCAGCCGAGAAAACAGACTGCCAGGCAGCTTCCTTTGTGCCACCCAGCTTTATTTGGTCTTTCAAAGCCAATAGCCAAACTTCAGAAAAAGCAATTAGGCCCTCTGTCACATGGCACAAATCAGAAGTCATGCCTTATAAAGCAATGCTATGAAATCAACAGACAGGACAAAGGCAGAGGCAAACTCAAAGGTAGCAGCTGTGCTGGCGACCTGAAAACATCCTTTTAATTTTGTTTCTGTTCAGCCATAGACTTGGCTACCTCTGAGAAGTGTTGGCTCAGTATTCAAATGTCAGTGCTCTCCACTCCTCAATTCCTTTTGGTGTATGCTCTCCTAAACAAGCAGATACCTGTTCATTTAATCCGCTGAATGCAAATTAGTCCTTGCAAGTGTACTGCCTTATTCAGAAGAAAAATCTAATTTGAAAACATAGTCCTATGCAGCCTGCAGATGTAAGGCACAGTATATTTTTATTTTAGTGTTCTTAAAGATAAGCAAGGTGGTTCACAGAATTATCCTTTTTTTCTAGTTTCTTACCCACTGATACAATACTCAGAAAGTACTTCCATAACAAAAGGTCCCACATTTCTTTCCCTGTGGGGGAATACAGTATTTTGTCTGAAGACAACAGTTCCTTGATTATTTCACCATTTATCACCCACAGAGCACAATCCCCTCCCTTGTGGTCAATAGCACTGTCACAGAGACCCAGCTTAATTGAGTAGGTATTGACGGTCCCTTTATTTGAATTGAAGCATGTAGAAGTAATTTTCAACTACTGTTGAGGGCATTTGGGTGATTAACATCTCTGTGTGTCTTTCAAAATCATGTCATTATTTTCTCTACATGGCTTAATCCAACAGACTTCACTGGGATAAAATCAGGAGTTATGGATCCTGCCTTCAGTTC